TTTGACTTCTTGTTAAAAACCGCAAGTCCGATTGCTTTGATATTACATATATAGGTACTACATGTGGACCTCTCTTAGATTTGTTCATTTTGTGATGATATCTTCAATTCTCTAATTTTGGTGAATATTTTTGTCATTTTTGGTAAAAAGTGATATTTTCGACTTCTTGTTGAAAACTGCAAGTCCGATTGCTTTGATATTACATATATAGGTACTACATGTGGACCTCTCTCAGATTTGTTCGTTTTGTGATGATATCTTCAATTCTCTAATTAATTTATTTTGGTGAATATTTTTGTAATTTTTGGTAAAAAGTGATATTTTCGACTTCTTGTTAAAAAGTGTAAGTTCGATTGCTTTGATACTATACATATTGTTCATTTTCTAATGATGTCTTCAGTTCTTTAATTGAAATGTGTATTGCTAACAGCGGAGCTATCTCAGCCGATAGGCTGCTTGTTTTGAATTCAAATGGCCTTGTCTTGTTCTTGTATATTTCAGTTCAAGATAGTAATTTCATATCTCCCCTGGTTACTGATTTTTGTTATGTTTCTCTAGTTTACCGGATTCTTTCGTAAATTCGCCCATCCGAAAAATTACGGCTGATTTCACGGCTGGTGGGCCCTTATTTGCAGTTTCAAATTTTCACAAAATTATTATCAAATATTTTTAGGAGGCTTATATTTTCATTGAAAAATCCACCTACGCCGACTTTCAACACCGGCAGTTGGACCACCCAAAACAAAAGAAACTAAAATTGTATACATTTTTTTCTAGCTGGATTAATAAGTAGATCGCGCATCATTCTCCAAAAAAATCACATTAACGAACCTTGTGCGCCAAATATAATTATTTTGTCTCATTTTATAACGAAAGTATATTCGAAAAGAAGTTTCAGATAACAACGAACACAACTGCATTGCTTAGTTGCAAATGATCATGGTAGCGCAATCCGGTCATGCTGCGTTTTACAATTGTTGATTATTTAAAGAATAAAGAACGACCTGACAACCCATAATGGGCGAAAGCTCACTTTGTGCGACATATATGTACGAGGCGTGAGCCGAGTACATATATCGGGCACAAAGTTTGCTTGAGTCCATTATGGGTTGTCGGGGAGTTAATTATTGTTATTATTTTGTAGCGTTGTCAATACCAGGGGATTTGCTGCCTCTAAAAAGCGAAAAAAAATGGAGAAAAATCTACAGTGGACAGAATACTGTAAAGGGGGTAATTATTCACTGGGTTTTAATTTAGCTTATTTCGCTGACTGGAAAAATGCGCTAAATTAAAACACAGTGAATATGTAAAATTTAGCATAGAACACATTATCTAAATGACGAAACCGTGAATTTAAAACCCACTGAATATGCCCGAAATGGTAAATCAGTGAAATTTAAACCCAGTGAAAATTAGTCATTTTACAGTAGTTTCACAGTTTCTGGCCCGTGAATCTGAATAATTTAAAATGGTTTTCTGGAAATTGTTTCCACAATCTCATATGGCAAACTAAGAAAGAAACTAGTTTTAATCCATCAGATATTATTGTATTGAACTCATTTACGATGCGGGTGAATGAGTGAGTGACTGTGTGGTGTGGAGTAGCATTACAGTGATCGCACACCATGACTGGTACGCCATATCGGTGTCCACCGCGGCCTTGCACTACACTACGCTAGATCGCCGCCGTGGTCCAGCTGGATCGACTGTGCGTACCCAGGGTACATGTCCGTAGTTGCATCGTTACCCCATCCCACTAGTGTTTTCAAACAATCAAGGTAGATATTATTGGCAACTGTCCTGTCATTGTAATAGTGGGTGGGATTTGACGAATACTAAGAAGCCAAACGAAACTTACAGGTGTAGCGGGCAAACGAACATGACCGGAAAGCTAGTGGGTGTTAGCCATCCTAGAAGGAGAACCAACAGTGATTTTAATCTCACTGTATAAATAAACAGGTACACACCTGAGAACACTGATACTTTCATTTATTTATGCAAACTGTGCCCAGACTGTTACATTAACCAGGAGTCAATGCCGAGGAAATACAAGTCACGTCCATCATCATCAATCTCGTTTCACAAAATTGTACTACTCACTACAAAAACTGAACAAGTTTATCTCTCTGTACTTGTAGACATACATTGTACCCCATTTCGTTTATCGCATTTGCTTGGATAAATTATCCTCAGTTAACCTCACTTCATCAACACGATAGGGCAAACTAATCAGGAGGCCACCGGGACAGCGGCATCAGTCGCAGAATCTAGAAGCGCGCGTACTAGATGGAACGCTGCGACCGAACGATTTTGGTATTAAATACTTGTTATCTAACAGTTTCTCTGCTTTTTTAAAAGTTTCTTGTTTATTCGTTTTCGAAAATAACATTGTATTCATATCCATGGGACAGGGCCTTGATGCTCAATAATGTAATACATTATCGTGAATAATCTGCTGCAATGACGTCATAAAATCCACTGGTATTGATAATGCTATAATATAATACCTAGTAATGATTATAATAACGTGCAAAAAATAAATTTGTTGAATTGTCATGAAATGCAAATAAATTTAAACTTATTTCATCGTGAGCGAATAATTCCGATCGCAATTTCAACGCTCCATGCTGTAGAAATGAATATTCGCCATATTCTGACCTGACCTGAGAGGTCAAATTGATAATTAACCAATGAAAACGATGGATGATGCCAACATGTTCAAATTACCATAACACATTTAAATATGTTAATGTTATTGAAGTTTTGAACCCAGCATGGAAGAGATTTGCCGATCTTTTGGCTTGGATTTTGATGGGAAAGTGGCATCATATGATTTGTTTTTAAATAAAAAAATTAGCTGTTTTCAAAAGATAAACTGAGCATTTGAAGAATAATTTAATATTATTTACAGCGATAACAGCTCATTGTCGAAACGAAGCTAACCCATTCACACTTGAGGCAATTATTATTATTATTATCTTTTATTTCAGGACAAGCCCATATAAAAAGTAAGAAAAAAAAAATATTAACAAATTACACAGTATGCCTTAAATAGAATCGACCACGCCACATTTGCCATATACGTGATTTAAAAAAAATATCACTAGATAAACATAAATACTCTTGAATAGGCGTCAATGACTACGGCGAAACTTTTAGACATCAGAAAAGATTGAAATAACACCTTAAAAAACTGCCGAAAAATTGCCCTGGGCGGTTTCTAGGTCCCAATTTATTTTTTTAAACACCCAAACTGTCGTTTAATGGCCCTGGGTGAATTTACGACAGAATCCTATACATGTATAATATGTATTTATCATATATGTCAAGAGTACATGGATTTGTTGTACACTAAACACTCACTGTGTTGAATATCTCACTATGTGTGTGTATGCATAAACTAATGATATCGTAAGTTTCAAATACCATAGCAACAAAAATGGGAATTTTGATTAATTTCAGACAAATCTCAGGAGCCACAATCAAGATCGCCAACTCTCAGGAAGGTTCAAATGATCGGTCTGTGACTATTTCAGGAACTGTAGAGGCAATCAACCTGGCACATTTTCTTATCAATTCAAGGTAGGTTTTAAATTCAATGAAGAAAAGTGAGTGTGTTTTTATTAGCTACCTTATTCTATGCAGCTGAACTTTGACATTTGACCAGACTTCACTCTCTTCTCTGGCTATCACAATTCAATTCAAACTTCGAGAATTTCTTTATTTGGTCGACTGCCATATTTAGTACAAATATAATTGTGACATTATAAACTATGGATATTATTGTTACTTTGTATTCACTATATTGCAGACATTTGTACTTTAGTTGTGGTCAATGTTTTCTTGTCAGCTGTCAGGATAAAACCATTGTTTTAGTCTCAGGTCGTTTTTTAGTTACTATGTAGCAAATTAATCCACCAATCCTTACCCTGTGTCATACTATTGTCTTTTATCTATATTGCTTTCCCATGTTTCCTTTTCTGTTTCATTTCGTTGTCTTTTTACCCCCAGTATTTTATTTCTAGCATTTGATTTTTTCTTTTTTTGTGTTTTTATCCAAGCACCTTTATTTCCTATTCTCCTCTCAGTTTCAAGAGATGCTTTTACTTTTGTTCATATTTTCTTCTGCTGTACAACTACTTTACTAAAAGCAAACTATGGGTGTAGGAAGGGTTAAGGAGCTCTCAGTTTCGTTTGCATGTCATATTTTTCTTTCACAATGTGATTTCATATTTCCCATCACCATTGCATGCTTTCCATATTTTTATTAAATTGTCATGACTTTTGTCACCATGCCAACAGGGGGTCATAATCCTGTCTAATGATGCACCAATGCATGATATCACACTGGATCAGCTGTATCATGTCATTCATTTTGATAATGAAAAAAAAAATATTTTTAGTGGGGCCCCTGATGCCATTGTGTAAATACATCGTAACTCCATTTGCCTAACCATCCTGGAAACCTAACCAACCATCTTTGTATTTATCCCACATTTTTATCCTTCTGACCATCCTTTGTCTCTAATCCCATGTTCCTCTAACCCTCCATCTATACCCCCTTTTCTCTACACAGTTTGGAACTGGCAAAAAACCTCGCCCCTGAGCTTGCTGCGAAAGCCAACTTGATCCCCACATCAGCCCTGATGACCATGAGTCCAACGACCCCTACTACCTCCCCTTCTCCCTTGGGTATCCCGATATCGAACCTGCTGAAACCGATGCCACTCCTCGGTCTGGAGGCTGCAAAGACAACATTCACTACGAAAATTCGTCCCAATTCCTCCATCGGAACTGCTGGATTAAAGAAAGCAAGCAGTAATAAATTTTCACCGTACTAACCATGTGGAACGAAGATTCCTAAGATGGCGCTGCTCAGTCTAGAGAATATGAGATGTGAGAGAGAGAGGAGGCGACAAATGCATGTTTTCATAACAAAATGACCATTTTGCATGCAACTAAAGAACAGAGAAGAGCTAGTTTTACTCCATTTTTTGGTTGTTTTTTTCCCCCATAAATGCATGAAATCAAAACTAGAAATAAACCATCCTAGTTTATTCATTGTAACAAACATGGCCATAGATTATTTGAATGGTAGTATTTATTTATATGTATCTTGTTGGCAAAAAAGTCTACTTACTTACTTTACTATATTACAGTATTTTTTTTATTTTAAAAAATTAAAAAAATATCTTTGGTGCAACTAAACCATACTTATTGTGGTGTGTGGAATCAAAACACTTGATAATCTGTATTCCTACTGTAGTTTGTCTACAGTTTTAGAAACCTTTAAATAATAAACATTATAATTATAACAAGAGAATTACTAGCTGGTTACAGCATTGTTTTAAATTATTTATTATGGACTTGGAATACTGTTACAGTAGTTAAATTTATTAATTATGGAGATAATGAGTATTTCCAAGTAGTTTTGGAAGAATCTTTTTCTCCTGTCTTTGGAGCAGGGGTAAGCAATCATTGTGAACAGTACTTATCTTTAGGGTAGCTTTATTGCATATAATAGTTATATTTCTTATACATGGCTGGATTTTTTTAGAGTGTAGACTGAGTGAGAGACCTAATGAATGACCTTGACATTGTACAGTGTTAGTCATCGTATTATATATATATAATAAGACTTCATATAGGGAACATGAAGATATTTTTAGCAGATGTTTTTTTTAGCTTGTATTGTCTTTATTCCTAGTTTTTAGAACGTATGCTCAGGAATGGATAAATTTTGAATTGCCAGTGTGCAGAATTTCCTTCATTGATGTCTGCCATTTTTATTTCATTTATTCCCATTTATTTAATGTCCATATTTCAGAGTGATATAAACTATTAACGTAAGTGTTATGTATGTTGGCTCATTTTTTACTGTCTTGCCATTGAACAGTTCTTTTTTTTTGGCACTCACCATCATGACCTTTCTTGCACTGATTGTGGGTAGGTAAACTAGTACTTGACCCCAGCATGCATCATCATGTGGTCAAGATGGTGGGCACCAGAGACTTCCATATTGTATGTGATATTCCATCCCATAATATATTGTGTTGTGTGACAATCTTGTGTTTGTGGGACCAAATTACGCTACATGCTTATATCTTGAAATAGCTTCATCATTCAATTCAAAAACAACTTTGGATAATAAGAGTATAAATTTTAGAGAGGGCCAGAACTATCATGGTTTATGGTTCATGATGAAATGTAATTCCAAAAAATTTTTTTCTTGTGCTGCTTCCATAAAATGAACATAATTCGCAAAAAAATAAACATAAAGAGGCTATATTATATACTTGCCAGAAATTAACACCGTTCAAGGTGTGAGCGTAATTGTTTGTTTGAATTTCTTTTCTCCACGTTTTTGTCTCTTCCAGGATTAGAACCGAAGTCAGTGGAATGGGAACAGTGTATCCCATCAGCCTATCCCATCATGCAACAGGCCATCAATTGCCATCCTAGCCCATAATATTTACCACAAATTGTATTCCCTCAAGTTAATAAAATGTGTTCAAAGTGGGAGCTGAGAAATTCTAAAAAAAAAAAATTGTAAAAAATAATGAAATACTTATTATATAATACTTTTGAACTCAACAAGAAGTTTTTAAATTTTACATTAATTGAATGAGTTTTCTCAATTATTTGAGTAGTGATATGTAGTGCTGTGATATTGTGGGACCAAGAATGAATACTTCAAAATAATATGTGCATGAATTTTGGCCTTATGATATACAAAAACAGGTTGGATTGGTGTATTATTTTTGCTTGTATTCAAAGTTCTGGTTGACGCACAACTCTTTCTCTTTATTTTTAATCGTCAAGAAAACTAGGATTTATCACCCGCTATTGCAAACCCTGTAGCACTGTTAGCTCTTTTAACACCACTTTGTAACTTACCATCAAAATGTCTGCTAACGTTACTGCCACAACACAGAAGCCATCTTGTATGAAACAAACAAGTCATATATATATTATTCTTGTACTTAAATCAAGTATACCTGAAAACAAACAACTGTAGTGCTAGAAGGGCTAACAGTCAAACCCATTCTTTGAAAATATTATCAGGTGTAGTTGAGAGTGAAGAGGTCCATTATAATGTACTTAACAAGCTATGTGTGGGGTCCAATATTGTTTTTAAGTGAGTTCACTGCGTTTTTAGAGAGCTACAACTCAGGTTGTATAGTTATCTTGCCATTGTACACTCAAGTCTATTTATCTATTTACCAAATTTGTATTATTTGTATTTACTGTAGCTTTTGCTGTTCTGACTTTTGTTACCGTGGAAATTTTGGAAATAATATTAAACCATAATTGTAAAGGAACTAATCTTGGTTATATTGTTCATGTTCGTGACATTTTTAAAATTCTAAAATCCTGTTAATTTATTTAACTTATCATTGCATTTCTTAAAATGATATGGAATGAGATTGTTGAAAACTGATGCAACTTAATAAGGGCATGACATGACCTCCCTTACTAAGAATTCTAACTTGCAGTCATTTCTTTCAAAACTAGAATTATTAATAAATGTTATTTAGTGGTATCTGATATAAATGAATTCTACAAAGCAATATTTCACATTAAACAATAATTGCATAAATTATACATAATTCTGATTTCATTAACTGTGACATGAATTAATGAAAAGAAACAAGACACACAGACTAAGGTTAGTATTTAGATAAAGTGTTCTAGTATTTTTTTGTTTGGCTCTACTAAATATGTGTGTTCATAAATATTGTAATGCTTGCTTTAATAATATAAATCATGTAGAAATTAAATAAGTCTAAACTATTTGAAAAAATATATTTATTTGAGCACTTATCAAAATCCTGATTTGCCTGCCATTACTTATTAAGTGAATACTAATAGAGAAGAGGTGTTTAGTGGGAGGCTGAGAGGGTTTAAGTTTGATTTGATGCTGCTTTATCTGATAAAATATGGCCTTAAAGGGTAGTAGTCATTTTTGACATGAGGCATATCATTTCATATGGGTGTTGTGGCATGAAATGACATGTGGGATTTAGTTGACATATCATGAGATGGCATGACACGTGGCATTTCGTGAAATAAAATGTGGAGTTTAGTTTCCATATGAGATTATATGTCATGTAGTGGCATGTGAAGAGATGGCATGACACATGGCATTTTATAAATGTCCATAGTAAATTTGTATGTCATTTCATGAGATGTCATTGATAATATGGAATTTCTTGAATGACATAGTTGATTTGTGGCATTTCATGTTATGACAAATAAATAAATTAAAAAAAAATATATTATTTCATGACACAACATTGGCAGCTTGATTTGTTGAGGGTTTTTTTGGTCAAGATTGAAGAAGAAAAAAATATGCAGAAGGTCTGCTCCCACTTTGTTCACAGGAAGTGTTGAATCCAAACAGCTTTAATTATAATGTATATTCATTCATTGCAACCATTTAACAGTTTAATTTTATCCTATTTTCTTGTCATTACTTAAATTTTAAGTATAACATTATTATGTTTAATTCAGTACTGTGTTTTATGTCTGTATTTCAAGTATATTAAAGGAATACTAGACCAAAAAATATGTGTTTGTACCCTTATATATTGATTGCATTGTATGTATTTAGGGACGGGTTTTAATAGCAGAAATAGTCATAAATGAATACCCAAGTATTAGGTTTCCCGCTCTAGGGATTCCACAACTCATCAAGTTCAAATAAAATTCATTACATGAGTAAATTGAATTTATTCATACTGGTTTGACCTGTCTGCTCCATTACATGGGTTTTCTTCATGTTGCATTTTAAAAACAGTCTTGTACAAAACAAGATCTTTAATGGTATGTCTATTCTGGTGGCATATTTATTATCATATCTGCTCTTCAAAACCAAACTAGCAATTAATGTTACAATAGTGTATTTGCTGTAACAATAATCCATATGTGCACACACGAATAACAGGTGTGTCTGGTCAACCATCCAGCATAAAATGATTTTTGATTACACAGCTTCTAATAAAACAAATACTAGTATGTGAAGTGAACTTTGTCTATGCTAGAAATGATTATTGCCACAGATTGGTTCAATGTGAATAAGGAGAGACGTACATCAAAAAGGTCACAATCTTGGTACTTTGTCGGTATGACATAAGCAAGCTTTTGCTCCGCTGAACTTGCTTTTGGACACCTGCATTACCCTTTGACAGATGTACATTCTTTTCTAGTAAACACGCATTCTTTTCTAGTAAACACGCATTCTTTTCTAGTAAACACGCAATTTTTTCTAGTAAACATGCATTCTTTTCTAGTAAACACGCATTCCTTTCTAGTAAACACGCATTCTTTTCTAGTAAACATTCATTCTTTTCTAGTAAACACCCATTCTTTTCTAGTAAACACGCATTCTTTTCTAGTAAACACGCATTCTTTTCTAGTAAACACGCATTCTTTTCTAGTAAACACGCATTCTTTTCTAGTAAACATGCATTCTTTTCTAGTAAAAACCCATTCTTTTCTAGTAAAAACCCATTCTTTTCTAGTAAACAGGCATTCTTTTCTAGTAAACAGGCATTCTTTTCTAGTAAACACCCATTCTTTTCTAGTAAACACGCATTCTTTTCTAGTAAACACCTATTCTTTTCTAGTAAGCACCCATTCTTTTCTAGTAAACACGCATTCTTTTCTAGTAAACACCCATTCTTTTCTAGTAAACACGCATTCTTTTCTAGTAAACACCCATTCTTTTCTAGTAAACACGCATTCTTTTCTAGTAAACACCCATTCTTTTCTAGTAAACACGCATTCTTTTCTAGTAAACACCCATTCTTTTCTAGTAAACACGCATTCTTTTCTAGTGAACACGCATTCTTTTCTAGTAAACACGCATTCTTTTTCTAGTAAACACTCATTCTTTTCTAGTAAACACCCATTCTTTTCTAGTAAACACCCATTCTTTTCTGGTAAACACGCATTCTTTTCTGGTAAACACGCATTCTTTTCTGGTAAACACGCATTCTTTTCTGGTAAACACGCATTCTTTTCTAGTAAACACGCATTCTTTTCTAGTAAACACGCATTCTTTTCTGGTAAACACCCATTCTTTTCTAGTGAACACACATTCTTTTCTAGTGAACACGCATTCTTTTCTAGTGAACACGCATTCTTTTCTAGTAAACACGCATTCTTTTCTAGTAAACACGCATTCTTTTCTAGTAAACACGCAGTCTTTTCTAGTAAACACGCAGTCTTTTCTAGTAAACACCCATTCTTTTCTAGTAAACACGCATTCTTTTCTAGTAAACATGCATTCTATTCTAGTAAACACGCATTCTTTTCTAGTAAACACCCATTCTTTTCTAGTAAACACGCATTCTTTTCTAGTAAACACGCACTCTTTTCTAGTAAACACCCATTCTTTTCTAGTAAACACCCATTCTTTTCTGGTAAACACCCATTCTTTTCTGGTAAACACGCATTCTTTTCTGGTAAACACCCATTCTTTTCTAGTAAACACGCATTCTTTTCTAGTAAACACGCATTCTTTTCTAGTAAACACGCATTCTTTTCTAGTAAATACCCATTCTTTTCTAGTAAACACCCATTCTTTTCTAGTAAACACGCATTCTTTTCTAGTAAACACCCATTCTTTTCTAGTAAACACGCATTCTTTTCTAGTAAACACGCATTCTTTTCTAGTAAACACGCATTGTTTTCTAGTAAACACGCATTCTTTTCTAGTAAACACCCATTCTTTTCTAGTAAACGCGCATTCTTTTCTAGTAAACGCGCATTCTTTTCGAGTAAACGCGCATTCTTTTCGAGTAAACACCCATTCTTTTCGAGTAAACACCCATTCTTTTCTAGTAAACGCGCATTCTTTTCTAGTAAACACGCATTCTTTTTCTAGTAAACACGCTTTCTTTTCTAGTAAACACGCATTCTTTTCTAGTAAACACGCATTCTTTTCTAGTAAACACGCATT